ATAAATCAGATTTCCACTAATTTCAGCAGGAAGTTCTTGATTTGCTGCCTTTCGGTTGAAACGCGGTGATTAACAGGCTAATATCTGTAAAAACCTCTTAAGCTTTTAAGTGAGCCGAGTCTGGAAACAAGACGTCATGAGTTCATTTTTCCAGCTCCGCTCACTTCCACGAAGGGGGGGCGTGTTTACGTCCGCCCGCACGCGTACTTCTGAGGGTCGTATCTGGGGTTGCGTGTTTGGACCCGCTGAGCTACGGCTCACAATAAAAGCAGGCAATAACAGGGCCACCACGGTGGGACCTGGCCTTTGTGATGTCTCCCCGCTCCTCTCAGTGCCACCCCCCTCCTCCTCCTCCTCCTCCTCCTCCTCCCCCCTCCTCCCCTAAGTTATGGGCTGAATAACAGCGCAACAATATTAAGATAACATTTCCTGATTGTTTGTCAGGCAGGAGGCTCCTTCACCCCGCTTTCATCACGTCCACTGTGTTCATTAAATTGACAATTTGTATTTGCCCTACAGCGGGATAAACAGGCGCTTATCTGATGGGCTTGGTTTTTTATTATTTATTTCATTATCTTTTTTTTCCCCCTCCTCCTCCTCCTCTTTCTCTTGGGATTGAAGGTAAACATAAATCAGCAGCAGCATCTCCGTGCCGTTGTTTGTATTGCAGCAGTATTCGGCCGGGCTCCTCTCAGAGGAGGTTCTCCGTGGACGCTCGTGGCCTTCTTCACGGGGGTTTTTACTGCCCGCTCCCCGCCACAGCCAGCTCCCCCGGTGTCGGCGGCGTGGGTTAAAGCGCCCTGAGCGATGGTGGTTGCCTCCCTCGATATCTTAACCGGAGAACGGGCCTGTCGTCGGTCAGCGGTTTCGCCCGCGAAAAAACGAAAAACTAACGAAGCCGGCGCCTTCACTCAGGAAGCAGTTGTCCCCAAAATTGAATCTTTTCCCCATTTTTTACCCAACACCCCGGTCTAATCAAGTTTCAATTGACTGCCATTGAGGGAAGAGCTTCCCCCTCAGACACATGCATCGCTCCGGACCCAGTCAGACACCATTTAAGGCTTACTCAGTCTTTCTCCCAATATCTGGGAGAGCTCAGGGCCAAATGATTTAATCTTCATTCAGCTAATTTAGTCTGGATTTAAGCTGCCGGGTTGTCGAAGTGCAGAGTGATGGAGTCTGAAAACAGGATGAGAGGGGGAAAAAAAAAGGGAGAGCAGGGGAAAACGGAAGGAAGGAGAGAGGGGAAAAAGAGAAATGAAGTTGATAAAGCGATAGAGGGGAGAAAGAGAGAGACGAGGGAGGAGGAGGAGGGAGGCTGAAGATGATGATCCATCCTGACCCTAGTGAATGCTGTCATGTTCCTCCCTCTAGGTAATCTCTCTCACTCACTCGCTATTTTGCATGTGAAAATGCTCTCCTGACAGTTGCATATCAGATAAATTTTCTCTCTTTTTTTTTCCCCCCCCACCATGCCTCCCCTCCTTTCCCCTTCGCCAAATAAACAACAGTCTTCACTTTGAAGTTGTCTGTTTGTGTCAGTTTGGCTTGAGGCGAGTGCCGGCCCTCTCCTCTCTTTTTCTGTCTTTGTGCTGCAGCGTGAGAGCATCGCGGATTATTTCCTCTCACAATGGCCAGCCAGCATAACGCAGAGCACCAGGAGAGGAATTGTTAGCAGTCCAAGAAAAAGGCCCACGCAATTAATCCACCCAATTAAAAAAAAAAAACAAAGAACAAAAAACAAAAAAAAACAAGGGAAATATTTGGAAGTTTGGAGGTGTCAGGCATGCATCGCTGAACATCATATTTCCTAATCTGGTGATTTGTGGTCAGAGGGAAAATTGTGAATTCCTCTTTTTATCTCATCTGGTCTTAATCACAAAGAAAAACCCATTAAACTCTCTGATCCTTCCATTTTTTTGTATCTAGATCAGGTGATCTGTTTAACACACGCTCTCCCTCAACAATCGGCACCTCGCCACATGGGGGTGTTAGCGAGTGTGTGGCATTCCTCCCATTCCCTGTTAGAGGGATGGAAACTCCCGCCCAGGGAATTCTGCCACAGTTCAGACCGGCGACGGCTGGTGATGTTCTGTATGCCTGAACTGACAGTGCACCACCGTATAGATATGGTAATGAGAGGCGCTATAGATTCTGGAGCGGAGGAGGCTCACCTGTGTTTTTGAATACATCTGCCCGGGGATGTCAATCAGGTGCCTTGTTTTTCAGTCCGAAGGAGAAAAGAGAGGCGCGGAGGACGAGATGAGGAAAAAAAATAAGGCTCTGCAATCATCCCAGATGATTAGCGATTATTGTGCCTTCCTTTGCTCGTCGTGTCCCTGATGAAAAGTAGATAAAAACAAAAAGCCACAAGTTTTTTAAGCCAAGTTTTTTTGTAAAAAGATATTTAATGTAGGCCCTGCGATGGACTGGTGGACCGTCCAGGGTGGACCCCGCCTCTCGCCCACTGAACCCCGGGATAGGCTCCAGTCCCCCCGCGACCCCATTAGGGAATAAGCGGTTCGGAAAATGGATGGATATTTAATAGGATGCCTCAGTGATGCCTCTCTTTGAATTGAAGCCAGCACACAATAGCAACACATGCAGAGGGAATTTGGAGACATTTGTATGATATAGTTAGTTTTCATATGCGATAGAAAATATATGGATTTAGCTTACAGTAGCTTCTCACATTAGAAACATGACAGTAAAACCTGCATTGATCCATTTTCCTAAACGACAGGTGCCTTCGAGGGACCCGCCATGTGTAAAACATTCCTGCAGTTTAATTTCATATTCAATCTGATGAAAGAGATCGTACAGACAGGATTCATTTAATGACCAAAAAAGATAAAAGATGTGTACATATAAAATCTAGATGCACGACATTGTGTTTTAATTTTCTAACTCATCACGATTAGGGGATGTGTTATCATAATGATCCACTATCGGAGGCAGACTTGATTTAAGTGTGCTTCTTTACATAAGTTCTCATTCATCAGAAGAAATCTGAGAAATCAGTCATCTTACATGGAACATGCTGCTCTCTCTGGTTCAGATCTTATCGTCTCAGCACCAGTCGGTGAATTCATTTTTGTTGTCGAGTATTTAAATTCCCCTCTTGGAATATAATATGCATATATGTGTGTGTGTGCTCACATAAAGTTTTCCAATCTCTCACATAGACTTGTGCCTGTATCTCGTCATCTTGTTTCCTCCCTCCTTTGCACACATGCATCCACAAACGCCCTCGCCTCCTCCCGCTCTTCCTATCTCTCCTCTCGTACCTCCTACCTTGCCTGCGTTTTTGCATGGAGCCTGGCTGTTTAGGAGGAGTATGCATATGTATGGGCGAGACGGTGGATCGTGACGGAATCTGACACGCCGGGACAAGATCAAAGCGCTCCATCTGATCCCATAAAAACCGACGCAAACCTTCCTCTCATCCTTACAAAACCCCCACCCACTCCGCCAAGCCCAGACTCCTCCATCGCCCTCCTTTTCCGCACTCCTTTCTCCTCCAGCCCACGTCAAGACCTGCCCGCCCGACTTTGCGATTACACCCCGCGATAAACAATGGCCCGTTTAGCTCATAAAGCAGGAGTGTTGTGCATAATGCCTACAATAAAAGATAGCATCTCTTCACTCATCTTATTTACCTCTCCCACGGTGGCACAGGCGACGAGCAGTTTCTATAAATACTGCGGGGAAAGGGAGGGGAATACAGAGGCAGAAATGCATCTGCTGGTCAAATAAAGCCGCTGCCAAGTCAGGTGACGGGAGCGCGGAAAACAGAGCTGTAGGACTACGCGCCAGAGCCCCGAGTCAGGTGATAAAGACTCCATTTTAAACTTGCTCTGTTCTTTCGTATAAGTGAGCTTAAAATGTCCTCTCAACTTGCACAGGGCAACATCTACATCATGTTTAGGTTCATCTTTATGGAACATATAGATTGATATGGAAGCCAGGACACATTTGCCTCCCTATCTCTCCTTTCCTCTGCCTCCACGTCTTTAATTCCCTTCTTTCCCCCCCCCCCCACCTTCCCTCCCTCCCTTCCAGTAAGGAAGATGTATGAGTTTGAATTATTGATTCAGACACATGCTACATGCTGCTTGGAGTCATTATTTGTTCAGGTGAGTGTCATGCTGCTCGCTATGAAACAGATACCACGGGGATTAAGCGACACGATCAGGACTTAAAGACAGCCGCCTTCCCTAAAATAACAGGGGCCTCACCGCAAGACGAATGCTCCCCAAAACCCGAATTCATTTGTTTATGACTCACGCATTAGTCATTCTGCAGGCTAAATTGTAGCGGAGGTTAAGATTAATTCAAGCGCAGGCTTTTATTTTTATTATTTTTTTTCCTATTGTCTTCTGTGTTTCTTGAAGCTTAATAACACAGCAGATGAATATAGGTGCAAACATCCTACACACTGATAAAAAAAAAGCAAAGAAAAAAAAACAGCTTTTGTCGAGTCGTGGGCGTCCGCGCAAAGAATAGACAGATGTCCAGAGAGAAGACAGAATGGCATGCATATTCACAATCACTTGCACCAAATGACAAATCACGGCTTACACTCATTGTCTTGATGCTGAAAATGTGGAGCTCGCGCAGAAACATATCAGAAAGAGGGTTTTGATAGAAGGAGGCTCTGCCACAAGAGCCTTAAGAGCCTTAAGACAGAAGCGGGAGGTAAAATGTTTCTAACTGTTCATTTAGCCCTGGCTAAGTGGTCAGGGACAGTGGACAGGTGAACTCTATTCTCCCCAATGGCCCTGCGGGGTGTGTGTGTGTGTGTGTGTGTGTGTGCGATATATGTGTGTGGACTGTAACAGAATTTCTCCAGTCCTCTGGGCCCTGGTGCAAAGCAGAGAATAAATGGTGGAGGTGGCAGGCCAGGACAGAAAAATCAATGCCTGCTTATACAGACATGACACACCAGCAGCAAAGTGCATTGGGTGTGTGTTGCGTGTGTGCGCGTGTGCGGGCCCAGATGCACAGAGTGCAATCACACGGCCCTGTGCTCCATGGGCGTGAGGCGCGAGTACCCACCAACCTCCATTTCCTCTCTCACAGGGTAGATTTTCTAGTGTTTTATGTCAGCTTTGGGAACAGTAAATAACTCCCGTTTTTTGTTCTTTTTTTTGTTGTTTTTGTTCTGTTTTTTTCCCCCTCCTACTCATTCCTGCCCTCGTGGCTCTCTCGCTCTCTTGTGTCCTTGCAGGAAGTTCGAATGCGAGTTGTGCGACCGCTCCTTCAGCGAGAAATGGGCCCTGAACAACCACATGAAGCTGCACAGCGGGGAGAAGCCCTACAAGTGCGCCTGGCCGTCCTGCCACTACGCCTTCCTCAACCTGTCGGCCATGAAGGACCACTACAGGACGCACACTGGTGAGCCCCGGTACCGCCACAAAGACCCCCAAAACCCACACCCGGTCCTCCGTTACAGGCCGCCATTGTCGGTCCCACTCTCGGACAAAGGGTTATTCATCAAGCGGGACCATACTTGGATGCAATCAAACACACTTGTTCATTTCTCTATATAAGACGAAGCTGATTCTACAAAGGTTTATGCGAACTGTGAAAATCTCACATTAATTATGAATCTTCACAGCTTCGGTTGGAATAAATATCCGCAAGTTTTTTTTTTTTTTTGGCCGATAATAGCCACGACTTGTCCATCTGTACTCGTTCTCAACATCCCAGAGAAAGCGGAGCGCTTGTTCTTGGTCTCGCGCACACACTCGTTAGATGGTTCGCATCGCCCCTTGATCCCGATAGAATTGTCATTGTTATATTACACTTTATCAGCCAATTAACAGCCAAATGGGGAAGGGAAGCTGAACATGGATGTTTGGATTCTGTTTCCTTTTTTTTGTTGTTGTTGTTTTACGCCATCCTTCCCACTTGGAGGGTAGCAGGTTGAGGAGATGAGCAAAGTCAGTAGTCCGCAAATCCAACTGGTTGTCATGTGTGTGTGTTTCCTCCAAAACTCCATCTGGACACCGAGTGTGTTTTCAACAAATCTGGCTTTTTCCTATTTTTCTTACACTGATCTGGTCTTGTTTTTCCCTGACAAGCAACATGGTGGGGAAGGGGTGCGTCTGTGTTTTAGTCATGTCTCCCAACTTGAATCCAAAAATCTAAGTTAGAAGATCCCTAAAATCCATGACAAAGTAGAGGTTTAGTCGAATTATAGCCACTGGATTTACACAGTTGAGTTAAGATTAGACCACAGAACCTTTTTTTTTTTAGGTAAATATGTTGAATTGAATGTAATACCACTGCAACTGCTCACTTACTGTCACAAATCCAGCAGTAATTTCCTGCATTTAAACCAAAATCCACTTCAGAATTCTGAACAAACAAATTCCATTTTCCTTTGCCAGGAGTTATTGGACGTCCTTTTTCACCACTGCTGCGCTGGTATTGGAGAGGGAAAAAGAGATGTTGCTAGTGTGATAGTACGGAAGAGGAGCAGGGCCACTTTAGAAAAATTAACTTTAATTCTGATTTTAAGATTAGAATTCTGACTTTTTTCTTTAATCACTGAATTTTGACATTTTTCCAGAACTTGAAAAAAAAATTCTTGGGGAGATTTTGTTTTTCATATTCTGAAAATAATGGCAGAATTCAGACTTTTTTTCAGAAATTGAACAAAAAAAAAAATCGGTTTAGAAAAAAAATCAGAATTCTGAGATTACGGTCACAATTCTGAAAAAACAGTCAGAATTCTGAGAAAAAACTCAGATTTTTTCTCAGAAGATTCGATTTCTTTTTTTCTCGGTGGCCTAATCCTCTCCCATACAGAAACATGAGATGAGTGGGCATTTTTTGTTTAACTTTAAAATAAAAAACCCACCAGCTTCTCTTTCCAGTTCTAGCCTTCCTTTTTCTGTTCCTGCACATACAGTGAAGTGCACTGTGGGGCTGCTTTCAATACTGTATTTTCTTTTTCTTTTTTTTCCCCTTTTTTCTGTACTTCCTGAAACTTTGGAAAGACAGATGGTTCAGTGGGCGGTGGGAGGATACTGTCTTGAATAATAGCCCCTCGATAGGAGCCCAAGTCAGCCCCTTTGAAAGTGTCTTTATGCTGCAGCCCAGCGGTTTCCCCTCGGCCTCGGTAATGTCCCACACATGGCTCCTTGATGTCCTTTTAAGTCAATGACAGAAGCTGCAGCAGCCAGTGGCCTGACAGCCTGACTGAGCGCTTGCAGGAGAGCCCTCCATTCGTCACAGGCGCCCGCTGTGCGCACAGATTCGTGTGTGTGTGTGTGTGTGTGTGTGTGTGTGTGAGTCAGACTTGCTGGACGTTGTTTTAAATGTGTTTTAGCATAGATGTAACGTCAAGGCCCTCTATGACATAATAAGATGTTTTATTTTCATTTGTTTCCTGCTCTCATCATCCCCCATCCCCCACAGAAAGGTGTGCCGAAGTGTGTGTGTTCGGTGTGTGTGTCTTTGTGTGACTTTGACCCCTAGCACAACACACTGTGAGAGAAGTGATTGAGACGGAAAAAGTGATTGAATAGAAGAACTTGAAAGATCAATGGCGAGCAAATATGAAAGCAGGAGAATTGAGATTGAACCTGAAACAGCCTCGTTTTAGTGAGCGACAAACTTCGACTCGATTAGCAACACTCTGAAACGTAACGCAATTTGCACCGCGGTGACCTCCAAGACTCCTTTGTTGGTAATTGGTGCTGGGTGGGAGGCCTAACTGCAGCTCTACCACGTCTGCAATCACATTTCAGCAGCCAGCCTGACACTGAAATATTATCTGCATGTTGTGATCTGCTTAAAGGTTATAAATCGCCTCTTTTGCGGGACTAAGATGCAACACCAACATAAAAATGAAGGAGATTGAAAGGTTTAAGAAATCTGTCCCTGGAAAAGTCCTTAAAGGACTGGATGGGAACACGTTGTACAGTAGCAAAAGAAAGTATAAAAGTTATTTGCAAAATGTAATTCTTTATTGATTTTTTTATGTTTATACAAGCAAAGGTCAAAACAAAAATCTAAATTCATAAGTGGGACATCATTGAAAAAAACATGCTTTTACAGCAGATGGTCCCTTATGATGCAAAAGTACTCGTCTAAATACGTTTGCATTTTTTATCTAACAGTTTTCTAACCAATTACATGTTGTCAAGTCTTTCCGCATAACATTTAAACTTTTCAAACTCTGTCTAAAATTTGTCATGTTTGTCTACGTAAAATATTGTAGAAACCACATTTAAAAGACTTCCTTTTTGAACATAGTGAATAGGCCACTGAAAAATTTTAGCCTCTTGCTCTCAGCTCCTTTGGGTGAAAGTGAAATACCAAATTAAGAATTAAATCATTAATCAAAAGCATTAATAAATGTGGTATTCCTCTGTGTGTTGCCCTTTATCCTTAAACAAATGTTTTAGCCTTTTTTTCTAATCAGTGATTAGCAGTGATTAAGTAAGGAAAAGTAAGTACACCCTTTCTGGATAACGTCTTCACATACATAAAATTAGAAACATATATTGCTACATTGATTTGAAACAATTTTTAAAAAAAAGCATACATCCTCAGAAAAATATTATCTGGAGCCCATTTTAGCACTTGTAGTGTCACAATATCGACAAACAGAGAGCTGATGCTAAAGTGGCATTGCTGAAGCTATGCATACAAAAACAGTGTAAGAATAAAGTTAATATCCTATTTTTTATATTTTTCTAACCAAATTAGCAACTAGCTAACCCATACTCACATCTGAAATTTGATTTTTGCTTAAAGATTTGATTATTTAAACCATCTTTTTTCCACATGATGCTAATTTAACATTATTGTAAAAATGGTCTAATTATAGTTCCTATATTTACCACACTCTGGAACTAGTGGAACCTGGAACTAGTGGAACTTTCGACCACAAACAGTGTATTTTTGTCTTTGTAGTGAAATGGTTAGTGTATACCACCCAGAAGGGTTTTAAACATGAAAAACCTGCACAGAGATGTGCTTTCAATGAACTTCCAGAGCTGATGTTGGCTTGATTAGCTTGCCTGCTGTAGCCTTTGAAATGTGCTAGCAACAGTTGTCATTTAGTTATAAACTGGTGAATGTTTGTTAAAAATAATGAAGCCCACCCTTAGTTTTCAACGCAGTTATATTTCCTACTGTGGTATACAAGGTGTTTTTTTAAATTAAAAATGTAAACAAAATGTGGCTGCCGCAAATAAGGTGAAAGTGAATTATTGTTTTGTGTTAAGCCCTAGTCGCGTTCCGTCAGACTCACAGCCCACGTTAAAGTTGAAAATATCGAATGCTATGACACGTAGAGCTCTTTCAGAAATCGTATGTGAGTGTGTTAGTGTGTGTGTGTGTGTGTGTGTTTTGGGGGGGGTGTTAACACCTAAACTCCTCCTCCTCCTGCCTCTAACAGGATTCATTGTTCCTCTCTGACTTGTGTGTTTTTTATGTTAATCGCCCTCCGCTCACACAGCAGTCATGTCTGAGGGAGTGGGAGAGGAGGGCGGTGTCGGGGGTGGGGGGGTGGGGGGGGGGGGGGGGGGGGATTCGGCGTTCGTCAGCCGCCAGAGTCATTTGTAATTGCTGATGAATGAGCGACTCGGATAAATAAATAAGCGCACTGTATGTGACCCGCCCGGCGTTTCCCAGGCTGTGGGGCGCTGCGTTTGGGTGGCAGGGGAAGGGACAGCGGTGGGGGGGGGGGGGGCAGAGGGGGCCACAATTGATTTCCTCATTGCTTCAGTTTGTCGCTTAATCTGGCGATATGCTGATAAATCTTCACACTTTGTCAATTAATTTCCCTGAAAAATGAGACCCAAAATGGCGAGCACATCAATACAGCAGCGGATTCTGTGTCAAAAATTAAGCGGTAAAATTAATTGCCCTCCCATCCGCTCCTGCTAAAACATAACTAATGAGGGAGGCAATTATAGCTTGCATGCAGACTCCTCCGGGGTTATTTAAAACATAAACGCGCGCACGCAACCACACACACTTATGCAGCACATGTATATATGCACATACACACACACACACGCAAGAAGAGGTTGTATATTTGACTTCAAAGTTCTTTTATTGTCTGGCAATAAGGTATTTAGAATTCTAGCAAGGGGTGGAGGGTTGAGGTGCATCATGGGAACAAAGAGAAGAAGTGACA